AATCAATTTATATCTTTATTTATTAAGTATGCTATTAAAGAGATAACAAAAATTAAATAATAAATAAATAAAAATTTGTCTATTCATCTCCACAAATTACAATGTATAGATTATTTACTTTATACAAATTAAAAGGATCGTAATTAAAAATATGTCGACCAAATAGGCGACGTGCTGAAGAAGGGCCAAATTAAAAGTACCCGTAACCGACGAGCGTGTATGACAAGATTGATGAATGTGGAAGGAGCGAAAGAGGTTTGTTTGAATCGAAGCATTTGGCGTTCCATTGTTTCTGCCTACCCTAATGGGAGACAGGCGTGACAGATATGTATGTATGTATGTATGTAATTAAAAAAATACATTATAAACGTTAGTACCAACTTGTCACAGATATATCGATTAGTAATTAATTGCCTAACACTATTTTAGGGCACACTCGGTTGCATCGCTTTACGGTGCACTGCGCAAAATAGAATTATGCACTGACCTACTTGTGCCTATGTAATAACGATTAAATAAACAAATAGCGAACAAGGGATGTATGAAAAGATGTCGATGACCAAAATTACTGTTGACAGGGAGGGAATTGTTAGTAATGCGGACTACCAGTCCCGTTGCTAGCAATATACCCTGTCAGGTCGACCTCCACGTGGTCACCCCTGAAAACCATAATGCTGAATTCCAGGTGTATTCATCCCTCACTGGTGCCAGTGCCTCACAGGTGAATATATGATAATGGAATAGTAATCCCGCCTGCGCTTACGGTATACGAGGTTTGTCCGGAAAGTACGTATAAAAGTTTTTTAAAAATTTTATTTTACAATTATTCAGGTAAATCAATTTTATCCCCTTCAAAGTACTCCCCCTGTGACATAATGCACTTGTGCCAACGCCGTTTCCACTGTGAGAAGGCTCCTTGAAAGTCCTCTGGTTGTAGGTTTCTCAGCTGCCCCGTCGTAGCTTTTTTTATCTCATTTATGTCCCCCAAATGCCGCCCCCGAAGTACCAATTTGGTTTTTGGGAACAAGAAGAAGTCACACGGGGCCAAATCCGGCGAATAGGGGGGGTGTTCGGTCACCGTAATGGAATTTTTACTCAAAAACTCACGGACAACAAGAGAGGTGTGGGCAGGGGCATTGTCGTGGTGAAGAATCCAACGCCCCTCTCGCGCCAATTCTGGACGAACTCGTGCCACACGAGCTTTGAGGCGTCTGAGCACATCGACGTAGAATTTTCCATCAACTGTCTGGCCTGGAGGGACGAATTCTTGATGGACAATCCCCCGAACATCGAACTCTTTCTCGGCCCTCTCTGAATCTTTTTAGCCACTTGTGGACGGTTGGTTCCTTCACAGCATCATCCCCATAAACTGTTCTGAGATCGGCAAAAATTTCACGGCCATTCTTGCCGAGTTTCGAGAGAAACTTGATTACGACGCGCTGCTCTTCAACGGAAGCGGGCTCCATGCCGACGGGGTTTCGTTAAGAGGTAACTTCACAGATGGCGTGACAAGCCAGTTCGCACCGCACGGCGGTCAGACCAGAACTGAAGCATTGTTAGGGACATAAGGAAGGGGTCCTGCGCTTACCTGGCCTCCCCACTCCTCTTTCTCGCATTCCAGAACACTTTTATACGAACTTTCCGGACAGACCTCGTACGCTGGCGCGGCACCAGTGAGGGATGATAGGTGAGGATGAAAAAGCAGATCAGTTAGCCCATCGTGATAAATACATTTGGTATTTAGCACGATGATTTCCAGGGAGAACCACGTGGAGGTCGACCTGCCAGGGTATATTGCTAGCATTGGGACTAGTAGTCCACATTACTAACAATCCCTTTCCCCCAGTAATATATACTAGATGGAGTGACGACTCTAAATACATTCCAGGGAGTGGATGCAGGTGGCTCAGGACCGTTCTTTATGGCAGTCTATGGGAGAGGCCTATGTACAGCAGTGGACGGATACTGCTAGGGGATTACGATGTTTATATGAACTTTTTTAAAATAACACTTTATTGAGTAAAATAGTAAAATTACAGTGAACTTAAGGAGACAACATGTTAATGCTAAGGAATAAAAACTACTATAGGCGTCACAGTATATTCTGTGATGTCAGTGATACTGTTGATATCTATAAGTCCATCAGGTGGACCCTGACCTTGTTTGTACACGCACAACAAAAATATTTATGCATCTTGGAATGACAAGCAAACAGACAGCAATACTACTTTCATATCAACTTACTTGCTTCGAACAATTGGCGCCATATATGGATTTTAAGTATAAATAAGCGAACATTGAACTTAAAACCAATGAAATAAGGTATCAATTACAATGTACAATTAGACAACACACCGAGACGATTTCCTTAAGAACCTTTATGAATCTTAACGCATTGTCAATATAATCAACAGTAGCACACTTTGTAAACTCTATTTCTAATACACAAGGTTCAAATTAGAATGCGTAAAGTAACAGATGGCAGCACTTTAATTGCGATTTCTTTTACCGTTCCGAGGTAATAAACGATTGTAACGTTCAACCTGCTAACGTCCTGTTTTATTCACATCGATCATTGGTGTTAGTTTATTGGATAGCCTCGTTTCTTTCTCAAATCGTTATTTTTTAAGAATCAAGAACACATAGTTAGGGTTGTCAACTTTATAACGAATTCATATGAATTATATTTTGACAACACTGTCTTCGGTAAAAATTGTCGTGTAGTCTCAGCATAGAATGGACAGCAGCGTCCCTCTTAAAACATCACCGAAAGCCAAACTGCGGTTGCCAAAACGCCCGCCAAGCATGACAACTACTGGCAAAGTCCCCCCAATTGTAAATTGCTATAAAGAATGACACAGCTTCTTATGGCAGTGTATGATAGATGATGATGATTCGGTAAAAAGCATGTAGCAGCAAAAAAGCCACTTTAAATTTAAAATTGAATCTATATGGGAATAAATCATACTGATATAAAAATAATGATCGAAATCGATTCTGAATTGGCGATATAATTGCATAACTTCGTCCGAGATGTTTACTAACCGGGATAAAAAGCAGCCTATATGCTGCTCCAACCCATATAGTAAGTGTATACCAAATTCCATAGTGATTGGTTAAACCGTTAAGGCACAATAAGGTCACAAATAAACAAACTCACTTTCACATTTATAATATTAGTAAGAAATACAAAATATTGCATTTTCGCCAGAATTCAAGGTATATGTAAAATTACAGCAAAATCTGTTAGCTGGAACTGGTTCTGATTAAATTTACTATATTAAACCTATACAAATTAACATACAAATAAGTTAAAATCTTTTAGAATACAGACGAATTGAGAATCTCAACCTTTGAAAGGTCCATACTATATCACAGTGTTTTTCAACCTTTTTCATGACACGACTCCCTCTAGTATGAAAAAAAATATTTCGTGACCCCCCAATTATTTATTTGTTAATTTGTATTAACATTTGTATGTTTTAATTATCATTATTCTTAATAAATCAATATTGTATAACTTTTTTTACTGAGTGACCCACAGGGGGTCGCGACCCACACGTTGAAAAATACTGCCATATCATATGATATTAACTGTTTACTGCTGAACATAGTTGTCACGCTTGGCAAACGGGTTGGTAACCGCAGTCAGGATTTGTCGTTAAGAGAAACACTGCTGCCCATCTCTCGACCGTTAAGTTTCCTTACTCGCCTCATACGACATCCACGAGAAAGGAAATGGTGCCCGATTCTATGCCGAGAACACACTGCGTAGAATGGACTTTTGAAGGTCACTTAAAAATAAATATAGCGACATTTTATTAATAAATTGTTAGAGGGATTATTAGATATAACAAGAATGTCACGGTTGGCAACCCTATACTTGAGAGATGTGTGCCGCTCTTCGCAGGAAGTTGCAACATTCACATGCATGTGTGATACATAAATACATACATACACATTATTGCTTTTAAGACAGATGTTAATTGCATTAGGTATACACACACATACAACTGTACTGTATTGAATAATTACAGTGTCTGATATATGACGATATACTGTAATACTCTATCTATCTCGATTGTATACGTTGACATCATCATCTCTACGTATAGATGTAGTACTATTTTTTATAGAATAGTTAACAAGCTGACCGGCCCACCTAATGGAAAGTTTTTTTTTATACAATTTAGAATGGCAAACAAGCTGACGGCCCACCTGATGGAAAGTGGTAACCGTCGCTTATAGACGTGAGCAGTACCATGGACATAACAGAGTATACTGTTTCGCCCATGAAACCCCCCATGCGTTGCCATTCCTGAGGACTCGGATGTTATTCCTCTGTACCCAGTAAATCCACTGCCATATCCCACCATCGCACATCATCAGCTGAGCCAGTTCCTTTTGCCTAATATGAGACACTTCTTATATATGTATTTTCTTTTGTAATTGTATTTTTCTAGCAATAAAAATTTTTGCTATTCTATTTTATATCTTGCGGCTTTGTCCTCGTAAATCATTGTTTGAAGTATCCTATATACTAATTAAGGATATAATCTATCTGTGTACCAAATTTAATTCAAGTCCGTTTAGTAGTTTTTGCGCGAAAGACTGACAAACATCCGTACACCATTTGAAAAAATCTACTTAAAATTGGAGCAAAGCCAGTTATTTGGGTAAAAGAACCGATTTGGATAAAATTTCTATATGATCAATCTGAGAGTATACCTTTTTAAATAAAAGAAGAATTCTTCAAGCCGGTTTATAAGTGGCGGAGTTATGAGGTGACAAACATAAAAAAAAACAACCGAATTGAGAACTTCATTTATAAAGTCGATTGATGACAGCGTCCTACTTTTTTTTAATGGGTTATAATGGTACGGTAACCCCGTCTGCGCTATCGGTATAAACAGCACAACGCTAATTTTCAGCCAGTCTCTCTCTTAACATAGCTAGATTCGTAATAAAGTTTGCACCCAGTCAATAAACAACCGACTCACCTTTGTCTATATTCATTCAGAACCTGTCGTCAGATGGAAGCACTGTCACTGTATCACTACACATGGTCACTATTAACACTGCACCGCACTGGCACTGTCACTTAGCACATGGTATATCCGATATTGGAGATCTGTAACAATCAAATTAGAACATTAGGTAAGCTAACAAACACAAAAAAAAAAAAAAAATAAACAATAGTTTGACAGTACTAGGGAATTAATTAAAAATAGTGACTTTAATACTGACAAAATTAATATGATTAAGGCGAGAGTCTAAAACGAAAATAAATTCTGTACAGGTTTTAATAAAATAATATTATAAAATATAAACTGTAGGCGACGTGCTGAAGAACGGCCAAATTAAAAGTACCCGTAACCGGCGAGCGTGTATGAAAAGATTGATGAATGTGGAAGAAGCGAAAGAAGTTTGTGTGAATCGAAGCATTTGGCGTTCCATTGTTTCTGCCTACCCTAATGGGAGACAGGCATGACAGATATGTATGTATGTATGTTATAAACCAGTATGGTTTGTAATTATGTATGTAGACTCTACTCTAATGTATGTGGATTTAAATTCGGGGACGCCCGACTAGTTCCGAACTCGATAGGAGCTCTTAATCATGAGCGCGGTTCATGGCTGTACTGTATGTATTCGCGAGCAGAACTTACACATACACTAAGCGACACAGTCATGGATCGCGCTCATGAATAAGAGATCCTATCGAGTTTTAAACTATACAAGCATCACCGAATTTAAAACGTGAGTAAAACCAATAAATAATAATAAATAAATTACAAAATAGTATATTCTAATGTTTATTGCGTGATAATTTTAGTACAAAAAGGCGATTCCAAAATGTTCATTTCGACTCACAGCTCTAATTGCCAGTGACATAATGGGCAACTGTCAAGTAGCACATTTCTGTGACTAAGACTACACACATGAGATAACGGTAAAAACAGCAAAAATATATCCTATTAAAAACATAAGATGTAAAAAAATGCCAAGTCTCTCGCAACGTAGTTCTTCAACTACAGAAAGTTGTCAGATCTAAAAAAAAAAACAAGTAAAACCAAGTCAGTTATTTTATTTAGTGTCTATGGAAGTACCTATACACCAATTTTGTTATAAATTGTAATCTTATTTGTTATAATTATCTATCAACATTTACAGTGACCATATCAACATGAGACATATTTATTTTTGATAATAATTATAATAACTTTCAATTTCCCGGTAAAATATTCAATGTTAATTTCAAATGTCAAAACTGAGGTCATATAAAGGTTTTTTGAGCAAAATTTACTTGAGAACTTTGTATCTATGTCCTAAATTAATCAGGGTTTAATACGTTTTTAAATAAGAAGTAAAATTATTGCAAAAAACATTGGATTACAATAAGCATCGATTATTTAACAATAACATAATTTAATATTGTGTTACACAAAAAAATTATAAAGTGACATACATAAAAAAATACGACCGAATCGAGAATGTCCTTCTTTTTGAAGTCAGTCGAAAAGCAATCGTAAACAATACCAACTCATATGAGAAGAAAAAATCACAAGAGCACAATATTCACGTTCCGAAATCATTCCACGTTCAAATTTCAAATTCATTCGCTTCGTTTACGTTCCGAAGCGAAAATTAACCGAAAAAGGACCAAATCTGGCCCCTCTGTAGCCATAACGATCTCTACCGAATTACCGTTTATGACAATAGAAACGAGCCTATTGACTATTCCACGTCCCCTGTTACTATTCACTCTGTCACACTTGCAAGTTAATCGTATCGCTGTCCCTTTTCTGTTGAAGTTGGAGATTGTTCGCGGTACATTGCTGTTTAATATGTCATTCGTATGTTAATTCTAAAGTAAATCTGATATGCATCATGGAGGGTTATAAAAGAAGTTTCGTCTCAAATTAAAAATCAATGCTCTCTACTAAAACTCTAAACAGAGCATTCGAATTACGTATTTAAGTAACTCACAAAAGGTAAAATTTTGTTTATCAAAATAAAACAGCTAGTTCAATAATGTCAAAATTACTAATCTATTCTTATTTTAAAATTTAAAACTAATAAACGCAATGATAAACGTCGAAATGTTTCGTAGACATAAATTTAAAATATTTGAATTTAGAACGCGCAATGCAATCTGTGTCTACGAGTAGATTTTGTTTTGTACAATGTAGTTTTTTTCTTCGCACACAAAAGTAAAATGGGACCAAAACGGAAGTAAACCTTACAGATTGCAAAAATAATTGTAAAAATCAGTTCAGGATTGACTACGTAATCTTAGTAAAAAAAATGTAGACAAATTGGTAACCTCATGCTTTCCTTACTATTTAAAAAGGCTAAATACACTCGTATGCATAATTTGGATATTAAAAAGTTTCCATTTTTAAGTGCATTTTTTTTAAAATGACTATAAAGAATAAATTCTTTTTTCTCTATGAAAATAACCACATAACAAAACCACTTATGATTTTTATTATAGCATAGATTGTTACCATTTCAAAAGAGTAATTCGCGGGACAAGCGACCGTGTACGGGTGTCCTTACAACTGTAATACAACTGGGGTTCTCGCCCCCTCGCCCTTATTTGATACTCAATAGTTTTGGCAAATTACCCCCAAATGTTTAACGATTTACCCCCGTGTATACTGAATCATCATTCAAAATGATTTATTGCAGTTTTAGTTTTGTATTTTGATCTGCTACTTCTTCAGCAGTTAACACATATCTATGTTAAGGGGGAAAAAGGGATTGTTAGTAATGGAGACTGAGAATCCCATTGCTAGCAATATATCCAACCAGGTCGACCTCCTCGCGGTTCTCCCTATCATGGTTAATTCCTGATGAATTCATCAATATGGGCTAACTGGCCTGTTTTCATTCTCGTATCCCGTTAGCGCAGGCGGGGTTACCATACAATTTTCACCCATCAAAAAAAAAAAAAAATTACATATACATACACATATAAATATATACAAAGCACACATAAGGAAATATGACGAAAAACACATATCTATGATTTTAATAATAGAATAAGTAATTTATAAGTAGAATGTAGTAGATACATACATACATAAGATGGAAAAAATATAATAAAAGTTAAAAGCTTGGAAATTAATATCCAGTGCCGGCGTATTATTAAAAAAAATCATATCTATTAAGGGGAGAGAATTGTTAGTAATGCGGACTATCAGGCCCATTTCTAACAATATACCCTGTCAAGTCGACCTGTCCGTGGTGTGGAAACCATCGTGTTGAATTCCAGGTGTATTCATCACGATGGAATAACTGACCTATCTTTCAAACTCCCTTATCACCTCTCACTGGTGCCCCGTCAACGTATACAGTTAGCACAAGCGGGGTTACCATTCCATTATCATCCATTAAAAAAACATATCTATTTCATGAAAAAAGATAAATTAGGAACGGTGTCCTCGGCCACAGCACACCTAGCAGTCTAATTATTCAGTCAGGCCAGTCAGTTAGAACTCAATGCAGTCTCCATTGGAAACCATAGCGGTTAAATCCTAGAGATCAAGATGTGTCAACTGACCTGTCTTCATCCTAGCCTATCATCCCATAATGTTGTCTTTTTCATACCATTTCATTTATATATAAAACAGTCATATTTCTATCTCACATAATTAATTACCACAGATATAAACAGAGCTAGATGTCGTAAATACTTATTTATATGACAAATATATATTTGCTCCGTAAAAAACGACTCCAATCGTGAATACACTGATAAACGGCGAGATATTCCATAGATATCCACATTGTAAATGCTGCGCTTTTACATACAAATTTCGCAAAGCGCTTCATTGCTACGCAAAGTGGGAGGCTGTGTACAAAAATCGTTTATTTGGGTACCTCTATCCCATTCGTGTTCCTGCCGTAAACCAGCGGCTGTGTTTCAGTTTACAACCGGCAGTTTCAATCGTCACAAAATTAAAAAGAAGGACTAATCCTGTTAATTGCAAAAAAGAATTGTGAATATACAATTGACGACGTGATTGTTTAAAATATTGCAAAAAGGAAATCAGACGAATTGAAGTCTCTTCTCGGAAATTGCTAAAAATACGCAAGCCAATGTGAAATTTTGAAGTGGCTAAACGCAATACTGCCATTCTTAAACCCTGACCGGTATTGGGGATTAATTCTATTAATACTAAACTATAGAATATACAATGTAATTAATAAGAGAAGCAAACATTGAAACAACTCTGTCTAAACTCAAACAAAACGAAACAAAGAAACATCACAATCATAAGCCGAATAGCATTGGACGCACACGTAAGCAAACTGTCTCCACAAAATAAAATACAGCCCGATGTCATATCGTATTGATTCCGGCCCTTAACTTCTGTCCCTGTCATCCATTTGGGTGGCTATTAAGTGTGAAAGGGACAGGTAGTCGCCGGCAACTCGCTTCGGTAATGTTTACTTGTGTGCAGATTACGGGTGACGCCCCGGACCAGTCTCGGACCGGCTTTCTTTAGACTTTAGAGCAATTCCAGAAACGCGTCTCATTTATTGCTCTTAATAGTACAAGTGGGTACTGTACTAGGGTCTGCTGCAGTACAGGCCCATGAAAAGGTAACTAAATATTGTTGAAATCATCGGATAAACACTCGCCAAATGAAACGAGTAAGAAATCGAATCGTTCAATCGACTAGACGATTTTTTATTTGTACTAATATTTGACACGAGCAGGCTGTTTTATGGTCGAGTCAACTATCCGTTTATTTACACGTTATCCTTTCTACCCAAACAGACTATAATATGTTGAATTGGGGAGAAGGCATTGTTAGTAATGGGGAGATTAATCCCCATTGCTATCAATATACCCTAGCAGGTCGACCTCGACTCTTAATCACGATGGTTTCCAGGGAAAACCATCTTGACTAATTTATCGTTGATCGTTGGCTAACTGACTTGCTTTATCATCTTCACTTATCATCCTTTACTAGTGCCCCGCTAGTGTATACCGATAGCGGAGGCGGGCTTACCATTCTATTATCATCCATTAAAAAAAAATGTTGAATTTAGATGAATTGAAAACTATTAAACAGTCGAATCCAGTTATAATTAAAGATGATGAGAGGAACGAAG